TCAGACCTGCTGAGTCCTAGAGTTATTGTCCAGGTAACTGACGCACACCAATGCTGCCAGACTTGGTCTGGGTGTCAAAAAAGTAACCACACACACTATATATATATTCGATCTCTGTTAGGAACCCAAACCTTTGTGCATACACTTTAGTGTGGAGATCAGAGAGCTGAGAATGAACCTTAAAGCAGAATATGACCTAAAAAGGGAAGTTCCACTTTATGTCCTCCTATCTCTTTCAGAGTTTTTGGGTTTTTTTTGGGAGCGGTGCCAAGTTTTGTCAGGTAACCGCTCCCACTTCTTCTGGAATTGCCTAGGCAATCCCAACAGAAGTGCACATCCCTCCACCACCAGCAACCTCCTGGTCCATCACAGGTCCCAGGAGACTGCGGGACCATTCACAAAGCACAGGAGGATTTGCACACGCACAGTGGGGAACTGGCTGTGAAGCCGCAAGGAGTGACAGCTGGCCTCCCACAGTAAACAAGCCGGCACTGAGGACCCAAAGACCATCAAAGAATGCTGGATCCCTGGACAGGTAAGTGTCCTTTTATGAAATGACAGTAGCTACACAATTTGTAGCTGCTAACTTTTCATTTTTTTTTCAGACTGAAGAACCTCTTTAACCTCTTCACGCCAACGCGTCCCGGCCCTTTAAGGGGTTTCAGATGCCAGGAGACGGGGTGGGATTCTAGGGTCATGTGACCACCGTGATTCGTTGTCACGTGGACACGTGATAGGAAAAGGTCCTGATCGCAAATGGAGATCGGGACCTTTCCATGAGACACCAACACATGTGCTGGGGGTGCGCAATCTCAGCATATATGTGTTTTCAAATGGTACGCAAATGGTATGCGGCTGTTCGGTGTCAAGGCCCAGCAGCCAAGAGGCCGCATATTTGAGTGCAGTCGGCGTCAAGGGGTTAAATTTATAACACTGTCTATTTTACATAGACAACTTTTTTTTTTTTTTACATTTTGGATGTACATACTTTCATTTCACTGATATCCCCTTTCACATATCCCTAACACTTGGATTCACACTTAACCTGACCCTCAACCTCAACGTAATACATAACCTATCCCCTAAAATTAACTGATAGAAGTTTTAATTCTTTCTTTAAAAATTGGGCTGTCAGAAAGGCAGAGCCAATTTTATTAAAGGCATCTAATTCTTTACCCGGGATCGTGTTCTGACAGCATCACTTTAAGCCCGTGGCCACTGATCATAATACTATTTGTGCTTTAACCCCTTCCCGCCCCTTCGGATGAGAGGTAACATGTGAACAGCAGAGACACCAGCCATTGATTTGTACAGTCAAAATCTGACAGCTGCAGCCTTTCGCATCCAGTGTGTGCAGGCAGTGTTTACAACCACTGGAAAATCTACTGATTCATGTTGGAGGCTGACCCTGACCACTGCTCTTCAGCTGTCTGAATGTACTCTTATAGACAGTGCACTTGTGACATGCAGGATTGGTGCATATGTTAAAGAAATTATACACTGTATCCCTTTGGGCGAAAAGAAGCAAAATAGATTTACAGTTGCAAGAAAAAGTATGTGAACCCCTTGGGATTACGTGGAGTTTTGCATGAATTGGGCATAAAATGTGCTCTGAACGTCATCTAAGTCACAACAATAGAAGAACACAGTCTGCTGAACATAATACTACACAAACATTAGATGTTGCCATGGTTTAATTGCACATAACATGTAAACATTCACAGTGCAGGGAGGAAAAAGTATGTGAGGCCCTAGCTTAATGACGTCTCCCAGAGCTAATTGGAGCCAGGAGTGAGCCAACCTTGACTCCAATCAGTGTGATGATATTGGATGTGTTGCTGACAGCTGTCCTGCCCTTAAAAAACACACACCTGTTTTGGGTTTACTGGTTCAAGAAGCACTGTCTGATGTGAACCATGCCTCGCAGAAAAGAGCTCTCAGAAGACCTACGATCAAGAATTGTTGACCTGCATGAAGCTGGAAAGGGTTACAAAAGTATCTCCAAAAGCCTTGATGTTCATGTGTCCACGGTAAGACAGACTGTCTACAAATGAAGAAAGTTTAACACTGTTGCTACTCTCCGTGGTCATCCTGTAAAAATGACTGCAAGAGCACAGCGTAGAATGCTGCATGAGATAAAGAAGAATCCCAGAGTGTCAGCTAAAGACCTACAGAAATCTCTGGCACATGCTAACATTTTTGTTGACACATCTACAATAAGGAAAACATTAAACAAGAATGGAGAACATGGGAGGACACCACGGAGGAAGCCATTGCTGTCCAAAAAGAATATTGCAGCACATTTGAAGTTTGCAAAAAAGCACCTGGATGTTCCACAACACTACTGGCAAAATATACTGTGGACAGATGAAACCAAGATTGAGTTGTTTGGGAAGAACACACAACACTATGTGTGGAGAAAAAAAGGCACAGCACACCAACATCAAAACCTCATCCCCACTGTAAAACATGGCGGAGGGAGCATCATGGTTTGGGGCTGCTTTGTTGCCTCAGGGCCTGGACGGGTTGTTGTCATTGATGGGGGAAAATGAATTCCAGAGTTTATTCCAGAGTTTATCAAGACATTTTGCAGGAAAACGTACGACCATCTGTCCGCCAACTGAAGCTCCGCAGAGGATGGGTGATGCAACAGGACAATGACCCAAAGCATACAAGTAATTCAACAAAACAATGGCTGCAACAGCACAGAATACGCCTTCTGGAGTGGCCCAGTCAGAGTCCTGACCTCAACCCGATTGAAATGCTGTGCCATGACCTTAAGAGAGTGATTCACACCAGACATCCCAAGAATATTGCTACACTGAAACAGTTTTGTGAAGAGGAGTGGTCCAAAATTACTCCAGATCATTGTGCAGGTCTGATCTGCAACTACAGGAAACGTTTGGTTGAGGTTATTGCTGCCAAAGGAGGGTCAACCAGTTATTAAGTCCAAAGGTTCACATACTTTTTCCTCCCTGCACTGTGAATGTTTACATGTTATGTGCAATTAAACCATGGAAACATCTAATGTTTGTGTAGTATTATGTTCAGCAGACTGTGTTCTTCTATTGTTGTGACTTAGATGACGTTCAGAGTACATTTTATGCCCAATCCATGCAAAACTCCTTGTAATCCCAAGGGGTTCACATACTTTTTCTTGCAACTGTATGTGTACATATTTGTATGCAAAGGAGACCTTGTGTCAAATGTTTTACAAGCTGGCCATACATTATTATTTTTTTTTTTCAGTCAGCTAATGGACTGAATGAAAAAAACCAAAACATATTCCTACATGTACACAAATGGATGGACTGAGCAATTCTCCCTGCTGGGACATTGTGTTGTGACAGCAGTACCCACCACTGTCAGAATACAGAGATCTGCAGCTGATTGGCTGTAGCTGCTGATCAATAAATCATTTTCCAACATGTCCCTTGGAATTTTGTTGAGTAGAGACAGCCACACACTGATCGATACTTGGCCAGTTCTGCTGAACAGGCCAAATTTTGATCAGTGTAGGGCTAACTTAAGTGCCCGGTCACACCGGTGTGATTTGCGAATTTAAATCACACCTGAAGTTGCATCTTATGAATGTGAATGTCTTAACATGTGCGATTTGCTGCAGCTCGATTTCTAAAGTTCTTACATTACTTTTTCTGCAGTTTTGTTGAGATTTCACATACATAGAATATAATGGAAATCACACTGCAAATTGCAAGAAATCGTTGAAAATCTTCACTAAAGTATCAATAAAGTCTTCAGAAATCGCACCTGAAACCATGCTGAAATTACACACAAATCATGCGATTTTAAATCACAGTGGTGTGACCGGTGACTTTGGCTTTAGCATTGATTTATGGTTGTTCCTTTTCTGGGTTATGACACTGCTTGATTTGCTTGTGTTAGGCTTGGTTCACACCTATGCAGTTTGCTTTTGATCCGTTTTGCTTTTTGGGGTGTGTTTTGCATTTTTGCACACACATTTTGATGCGTTTTTCATGCATTTGTAATGCTTTTTTTTTGCCAGTTTTTTGTCGGGCAGATTAAAGAACATAACACACATCAAAAATGCACTACATACTTTTCTTCAGTGTCTCCATTGAAGTCTATTGAACCTGACCCCTTTCCAAAAACGCAGTAGCTGAAAAACGCATAGATGTGAACATGCCTCATAGGAAACCATGTTAAATGGACTGTAGTGTGTTCCTGCAAAAAAGCACCAAAAAAGCATAGGTGTGAGCCAGGCCTTAGACCTTTGGGATCGCTAATCGTTCATATGTATATTTGAGACATCTGGAGAGAAGGTGTAGCAATCTAGTGATCTCCAGAGTGGAGGAGGTGTGCTTTTTTCAGCAGAAATAATATTGTGTTTGTGTTGAGTATTTGTACTTTAACCCTTAAGTGACTGAGTTGATGAATAAGTGATGATGCTGATTCTTCACAGTCTGGCTATGAACAGCAGTCAGATTTCATCATCTATAAATCTGTGTAATACTGTATGTAATATTGATTCATTTAATGTTAAGGCTTATCATGCAGTTCTCCTGTCTTTGTAAAACATGTAGTGCACTTACGGTCTGCAAGATCTATGCACTGAGCACCTAGAAAAGGGAAAAAAAGAAGGAAGAGTCAAAGGCTGTATTGTAAAGTGATGTATACAATAAACTGTACATATATAAGTACATATATACACTGACACACACACACTTTGTATATTTGTGGCTGTATATGCAAATAACATAAAGAAACAAATGACATTGGTTTTTTTTTCATGTTATCTTGTATTTATGTCAAAACTATAGTCAATCGCAGTTTATTTAACCACCTCCCACCCGCCATATAGTCCGATGACAGGCGCAAGGTAGTTCTCTCATTCTGAGAATACGTCATATGACGTCCTCCTATTCTCACTGCACATGCGAGGCTCAGGGAGCGCGCAGCGTGGCGATCGGCAGTGCGCTGTGTCCCTCGGACACAGCGGATCACAGATCTACGGAAAGAGCCGAAGATGTCGGCTCGGTCATGTGATCAGCTGTGTCCAATCACAGCTGATCACATGTAAACAGGGAAATGCCGGTTATCGGCATCTCTCTCCTCACGAGCTGTCGCGCTGACAGCTCGAGAGGAGAGCCGGTAATCGGCATTCCGCGGAGGGGACATGATCAGTGTGCCCTGATGATCAGTGTGGCCCCAGAAGTGCCACCTGTCAGTGTCCATCAGTGCCAGCTGCCAGTGCTGAACAGTGCTACGTGCCAGTGCCACATATCAGTGCCTACCAGTGTACATCAATGCCACATATCAGTGCCCATCTGAGCTGCCTTTTGGTGTCACCCATCAGTGCCAGCCAGTGCCAGCTATCCATGCCAATCACTGCCACCTATCAGTGCTGCCAATCAGTGTCACCTATCATTGCCAGTCAGTGCTGCATATTAGTGCCAGTCAGTGCCGCTTATTAGTGTGCATCAGTGCCCGTCAGTGCCGCCTATCAGTGCCAGTCAGTGCCACCTAACAGTGCCAGTCAGTGCCGCCTATCAGTGCAATATATCAGTGCCATATATGAATGCTGCCTTTCAGTGCCCATCAGTGATGCCTGTCAATGCCCTTCAGTGCCACCTACCAGTGCCTCCTCATCTGTGTCTATCAGTGCCACCTATCAGTGTCCATCAGTGCAGCCTATCAGTGCCAATCACTGCAGCCTCATTAGCGCACATCAGTGAAGGAGAAAAATCACTTTTTTACAAAATTTTACAACAAAAACTAAGAAAAAACATTATTTTTTCTAAATTTTCAGCGATTTTTGATTTGTTTAAGAAAAAATAAAAACCCAGAGGTGATTAAATATCACCAAAATAAAGCTCTATCTGTCACAAAAAAATTATAAAAATTTCATATGGGTACAGTGCTGAGAGCTAGAAATTGGCCTGGGCAGGAAGGGGCCCTGTAGGCAAGTGGTTAAAATTGGAATGTGATCTTTCTTCCATACTCTAAAGCCCACCTGCAGGCTGAACAAAAAACATCTAACAGATGTCTCCATCCACACTAAAGTACTTTGACAGCCAGTTCCACCAGCTATCAAAATATCTGGGCAGCAGCTGCATCTGGGTGGATGCAGTTGCTGTTCCGCTGTCAATTCTACTTCAGTTTTTCAATCGAGGGATGCCAGGCAGAAGGTGGCTGAAAGGGTCATCCACTGAGTGAATTTTGATGCTTCATCAGGAACAGCTGAAATCAGTGTATGGCCAGCTTAAAGTGGAAGCTCAGTCACACACTAGCTATACTTAAATCTACTCCCACTCTCAATCTAAGCCTATTCTATGTACCCTGTAAAGGATAGATCTGTATACTACTTATGCTGAAGTTTTTCCGGGCCCGTCACATGATCGAGTCTCAGTGCCGACCTCAGTGAAGAAGAAAGATCGCACACAACAGCTGCAGAGCCTGGGCGTTAATGTCACCTATAGGCTTACTGTGAGGCATTTGTTGTCAGCTGCCCCTCCTCTACACTGAAGTTGGCGCTAGGACCCGATCATGTGACTGGACTGGAGTGCCCTCAGAATAGGTAAGTACCTGCCTGGAGCTTGCATTTGTTCTCCTCGTGCCTGCGTGGGTTTCCTCTGGGTATTCCAGTTTCCTCCCACATGCTAAAGACATGCTGGTAGGTTAATTGACTCCTGTCTAAAATTGCCCCTAGCATGTATATGAATGTGAGTTAGGGACCTTAGACTGTAAGCTCCCTGAGGGCAGGGACCAATGTGAATGTATAATAGAGATATGTAAAATGCTGTGTAAATTGACAGTGCTGTATAAGTACCTGTAATAAATAATAAATGCACATCTTTCATTTCGATAGAATAGGCTTACAATAGGGGTGGGAGTAGATTTAACCACTACTCTACAGGGCACTTATACCCCCTTCCTGCCCAGGCGAAGTTTCAGCTTTTCAGCTTTCAATGACAATTGCGCAGTCATGCAACACTGTACTCATATGACATTTTTATAATTTTTTTTGAGACAGATAGAGCTTTCTTTAGGTGGTATTTAATCACCTCTGGGTTTTTTATTTTTTGCTAAACAAACCAAAAACCACTGACAATTTTGAAAAAAAAATTTTTTCTTAGTTTTGTTATAACATTTTGTAAATGAATGATTTTTCTCCTTCACTGATGTGCGATAATGAGGCTGCAGTGATGGGCACTGATAGGCTGCACTGATGGACACTGATAGGTGGCACTGATGGGCACTGATGAGGAGGCACTGGTAGGTGGCACCGATGGGAATTGACAGGCATCACTGATGGGCACTGAAAGGCAGCACTCATATATGACACTGATAGGCTGCACTGATAGGTGGCACTGACTGGCACTGATAGGAAGTACTGACTGGCACTGTTGGGTGGCACTTACTGGCACTGTTAGGTGGCACTGATAGGTGGTACTGACTGGCACTGATAGGCGGCACTGACTGGCACTGATGAGGAGGCACTGGTAGGTGGCACTGATGGGCATTGACAGGCATCACTGATGGGCACTGAAAGGCAGCACTCATATATGTCACTGATATGCTGCACTGATTGGCAGCTCTGATAGGTAGCACTGACTGGCATTGACAGGTGGCACTGACTGGCACTGATATGTGTCATTGATGTGGCACTGATGGGCACTGGCAGGTGGCATTGATGAGCACTGACAGCTGGCACTGATGGTGACAGGTGGCACTGTTGGGGCTACACTGATCATCAGTGACCTGATGATCAGTGTAGATGTCCCCTCTGAGGAATGCCGATTACCGGCTCTCCTCTCCTCTCGAGCTGTCAGCGTGACAGCTCATGAGGAGAGAAATGCCGATAACCAGCATTTCCCTATTTACATGTGATCAGCTGTGATTGGACACAGCTGATCACATGACCGAGCCGACATCTTTGGCCCTTTCTGTTGATCGGTGATCCGCTGTGTCCGAGGGACACAGCACACTGCCGATCGTCGCGCTGCGCGCTTAAAATGGGACGACGTCATATGACGTCCTCCCAGAACAATAGAACCTCCTTTGCACCCGTAATTACCTTATATGGCGGCTGGGAGGTGGTTAAGTATAGTTAGCTTTTGACTGAACTTCCACTTTAAGCATTTCTTCATGAGTTAAGTAATAGAGCTCAAAAATGCCGAAAGTTTTCAGTGTTGGCCTTATTCTGAAAGGTAAAAGTTAACACAATAATAAGAAAACCTTAACATACCTGAAAAATCCAGACTAGTGCTTGCCCACTGGAGGACTAACCCCCCCCCCCCCTCCCCTTATTCCAAAAATAGTTCTTTTGTGGCCATTTATAGAGAATGTCTACTTAGAGAAGTGATCTTCATGTAGCTCAGTGAATAAAGCAAACTGAATACCCAATCATGTGTAAAGGAAGGAAAATACCAGGTTTTCCTTACACAGAGTAGGATGGTTGGGGTGAATGCGGTTTCCATTTATTCGCTATGATAAGGGAACATTTACTTTGCCAGGTGCTCTTTTAGTAAAAAACAACCCATCGGCTGGAATTCGAACATAAAGGAACTGAGGAAATGTTGGCAATACAAATAATGAGTGAGAGTATCGCTGGTCATTTGCATCACTACATAACCATTACATTACAGTCTGTAGGCACACAACCTTACGTGTCCAAAGCAACATCCCTCTGCTAATATCACCTCTTTTACACAGAATATTTTCTAGCAAATGACTGATCCCTGTCTTAGAATATTGTGACAATGTGTAATAGTATAAATCCATGTAAAATTACCTTTAGGTAGAGGACTGCATTTTCCTCTGATAATGGAAACATTCTGCTTGATAATTATACAGGGAAAGGCCCCTCTTTACTTTGCCACCTATAGCTCAGGCCTAGTGTGCCCATTGCATCCACCTCTTGCACCCAATTTACATAAAGAAGAGACCCACTGCTGTAACTACTGAATTGGATCATGGGAACAAAAGAGTGCCAATTAGTTCTAGATTCTATAGCTGTAGTGGTGCTTTAATAGGGGTGAAATTCAATACATTCTGCACAGTTTCAGCAAAGCTGGAAATACACAAGTTTATATTAAATATTAAAATGATTCTGTATGGGTGAGGGATATACTGAAACTAAATTATCTGTACAGATACAGAAAGTCAAGCTGTAATATTCAAAAATACAGTTCTAGTGTAGGAATTGTTTAGTATTGACTTATTAATTGTAATTTGCAGCAACTTACCTGCATACTCGATAAGAACAGCCAACGCAATGATAACGTATATCTTCATTTGTGCAAGTATCGGGTGTGCTCCTGAATATGAGATGAATACCTTATCAGACCAAAACCCAAAAATGCAGAAATCTTCACTTACAGCTGGCTTTATAGATGAGGGGTGGCAGCAAATGACAAAGTAGGCCAAATGATCAGCGATTGCAAACAGTAATATGATGCAAAAACTCCAGGGCTGTTCTAATTCGCCAGGACTGACTTACATTTTTAACTTGTTTGGTAGCAACTTCATGTACCTTGTACATTCCCTTCATGTGGGAATGTACAAGGCATGCAATTTATAACATAGGAATGTTACTGATCAGACCTAGTGTCACTGTTCACATGTCAGAGAGAACTACCTTACCCCCAGGTCACACTGCTAGCATAACCCACACGTTTTACAACATTGTGCATCTTTGAAAATTTTCTATATTTTTAGCAAGTCTTATAAATAAATATTTTTTCAAAACATTATTCATTATTTTGAAAAAAATATCTGAAAAAACCCCCACAAAAAACAGCGCTCTCAAGCTTCAACTATACCTAAATAGAAGTATCATATATATTAAATAATACATAAATAATAATAAATAATATATAAATAAAGTTTAAATGGAAAACAACTACCAAATAAAGTGCAGCTGTGTGCCAAAATGTACAGTTGTGACCAAAATTATTCAACCCCCACTGAAATTGAGTGTTTTGGCCAGTTTGACATTGCTTTTGATCATTCAGTCATCTTGCTTACATTTACATTAAAGAGGCACTTGTAGGTCAGACAAATATAACATAACAGTTATAAATGAAATAACCACAAATGTCTTTTCTGTGCTCACAGCATTATCAGTTTTATTCAACCCCCAAGTGACATTCAATCTTAGTACTTAGTACAGCATCCTTTTACAGTTATAACAGCTTTTAAACGTGAAGCATAGCTTGACACAAGTGTCTTGCAGCGATCTACGGGTATCTTCGCCCATTCTTCATGGGCAAAGGCCTCCAGTTCAGTCACATTCTTAGGCTTGCGCACTGCAACTGCTTTCTTTAAGTCCCACCAGAGGTTCTCAATCGGATTTAAGTCTGGTGACTGCGATGGCCACTCCAAAATGTTCCAGCCTTTCCTCTGCAACCATGCTCTAGTGGACTTGGAGGTATGCTTGGGATCATTGTCCTGTTGAAAGGTCCAACGTCTCCCAAGCCTCAGGTGTGTGACGGACTGCATCACGTTTCCATCCAATATCTCCTGGTACTGAAGAGAATTCATGGTACCTTGCACACGCTGAAGCTTCCCTGTACCTGCAGAAGCAAAACAGCCCCAAAGCATGATTGACCCTCCACCATGCTTCACAGTAGGCAAGGTGTTCTTTTCATCATAGGCCTTGTTCTTCCTCCTCCAAACATAGCGTTGATCCATGGGCCCAAACAGTTCTAATTTTGTTTCATCAGTCCACAGAACACTATCCCACAACTTTTGTGGTTTGTCCACATGGCTTTTGGCATACTGCAGTCGACTCTTCTTATTCTTTGGAGACAGCAAGGGGGTACGCCTGGGAGTTCTGGCACGGAGGCCTTCATTACGCAGTGTGCGTCTTATTGTCTGGGCTGAAACTTCTGTACCCACATCTGACAAATCTTTTCTCAGTTCCTCAGCAGTCACACGGGGACTTCTCTCCACTCTACGCTTCAGGTAGCGCACAGCAGTCGAAGTCAGCATCTTCTTTCTGCCACGACCAGGTAGCGTTTCAACAGTGCCCTTTGCCTTGAATTTGCGAATGATGCTTCCTAAGGTGTCTCTTGGTATGTTTAACATCTTTGCAATCTTCTTATAGCCATTGCCCTTCCTGTGAAGAGAAATCACCTCTTCTCTTGTCTTCCTGGACCATTCTCTTGCCTTCACCATGTTTGTAACCACACCAGTAAATGTCTAGAAGGAGCTGAGTATCACAGTCATTTTAAAGCTGCCTAATTGGTGCTTATTATGCTTGATTGCTGCTCGGTGACATCCACAGGTGTTTTCAATACCTGATGGAAAGCACCTGTATGAACCTCTGTTCTTCAGAGTGGTAGTCTTTAAGGGGTTGAATAATTGTGGCAATGAAGAAACCACATAAGAACCATTTACTACTGTATTACATAAACAATTGATGTCATTTTAGTTGCATTTGGGTAGTTACAACGTCCTTGTAGGATTTGATTCTGAATACAATTCCAAATGTACACTATAGTCCCTAAACCCCTTTACAGCATTGGGGGTTGAATAATTTTGGTCACAACTGTATATATAAAATCAATATATATCAATTTAATATAAGATCCAACATAAAGTCCATTAAATTAAATAAAGTCCATATTATAGTATATGATCTTTATTCAATGAAGATATGGAATCTTTCTTTAACCAAATATCATTCCTCCACCAAAGTGAATATTCCAGTTCTCAACACCCCATCAAAGTGTAAACTCACCAGATACTGGTGATAAACCAGCATATCTTTCAGATATCAATGGATGTGAGAAAATCAACAGCATATCGATAATACTCATTCATCAGATGATCTCAATACTCTCCGTCATGGTAAGTATAAGCCACATGTGAATAGATAGAAAACACTCGCCATAGCGTAATACCGTTTCAAAAGTTTTATTCATACAAATTCCCCCTTTAAAATTGCACTCACATTGTGTAAGCAAATATAAAGCCTTTTTACATAAAAACCGTTTCCTGCAGCACTTAGTACACTGCTCCCAACACAAACAGTGGCATTTTACATTTTTTAAATCATATTTAGCTTCTTATAACACTAGAAGGCTTATTTAAAGTGGTTGTAAAGGCTCAAGGTTTTGCATGAAGAATGAATGAAAGTAAAAAACCTTCTGTATGCAGCAGTGCCCCCAGCCCCCTCAATACTTCCCTAAACCCCATTGAGATCCAGCGATGTGCATGACAGCCTTGGTTGTCCCCGGTCTCTGCCTCCTCATTGGCTGAAACAGCAAGCGGAAGCCACTGGCTCCCGCTTCTGTCAATCACAGCCAGTCAGCCAATGAGGAGAGAGAGGGCCAAGCTATGGCTCTGTTTGGTAATGGACACACGGCGAAGTGGGTGCCGCAATAGCAAGCTGCCTTCTGTGGGGCAGCTGAGAGGAGGGAGGGACATGAAAGCCTGCGGGGGGACCCAAGAAGAGGAGGATCCGGGCTGCTCTGTGCAATACCACTGCACACAGCAGGTAAGTATAACATGTTTGTTATCCCCCCCCCAAGAAAAATTAACATTTAGAATCGCTTTTTCTTATTGATCTGACTGCAGTAACTTAAGTTTAAGCAGTCATATCTAAACCAAAAAAAAAATACTATATTTCAGCTTATCAGTCATGCTGGCTTCATTCATTTTTTTCTAAGAACATATTCAGCAAGTACAGCAGATACTTGTTGATCTCGTAGTGTGTAACTTTCTGTGAGCTGAAAGAACAGCACTAATATCTTTATATTTCTTGTGTAAAC